CTGGGGAGGGCCACGGGCAAAGGGGGGGGTCGGGGCCTGATCGCCCCCTGCCTCTCCTGCACCGCCCCCCGCCACGAGCCGCAGGCGGAGGGCTTTGGGAGGCACGCGTGGGATTTGCTGTGGTATTGGGGCTGCTTGGTGTGACCCCTCGGGGAGGAAGGGACCCCTTTGCCTCCCAGGCAGGAGGAAGATGGCGAGAGGAGCGTACCCTCCTTCCCCAGAGACCACCCTGCTTCGCCACACGCCCTTGCACTCGCCCACTCCCCTCACAACAGACATGTGGACGCAGCTCACACTAGTGCACACGCTCCTTTCCTCATACACACCCAGCCCATTCATGCGACATTGCTTGCCCTCGGCTCGTGTCCCACATATACACGCCTTTCATTTGCACACTCGCGCTGTCACAGCACCCTCACGGGCACGTCCCACACTCCCCAGAGTGCTGGGTGCTGGAGAAGTTGGCTTTTCCCCCTACTGCTGGAATTGTACCCAGGGCCTTGCTCACACCAGGCAAACCCCTTATCCCTGGGCTACAAGCCCGGCCAAGGTCCTGTCCACTTGGGAAGAGGTTCTCGGTGGAGGAGGAGGAGGGGGCCTCTGCATCAGTGAGGCCCTACCCCGCGGCGGAATGGATGGGAGCCCCCAGAGGCCTGGGGAACCCTCCCGGCCCCCGTGGCCCCCGCCACTGCCTTTGAGGGTACCATGGCCGGGTGAAGAGGGCTGCGACAAGGGGCGCCCGTTGCCTTGGAACCGACTACCTTGTGGGGCGGGAGCGTTAGCGTAGCCGGGATTTATAGGGACAGACAATATTACTCCTTTGAGGACACTTAAGTAACCGGAGTTTACATTCACTAAGCACTTGGCTGATTTATCTTCTGCTACGGCGAGGAGGCAGCCCCGGGAGTGGGCCCTGATGCCTGGCCAGCCGGCTGGGGTAATGGGGACACAGAGCAGCAGCTGAACCCCAGGGTCGACCAAGGGCGGACATCCCACAGGCCTCCCCCTGTGGGCCTCCTGAGGACTGTCGGGGAGCGTGTTTTCCCCCAGCACTCATTTTCTCCTAATCGAGATCAATCTGCCTTAATGATCTTTACAAAAGAAAACTTCCCATCAGACTGTTGTAAAAACTCCCTGGCCAGCAAAGCTAACTGCTTGCTCCTGAGGCCAGCAGGCACTTCCCAGTGGTGTGAGGGCCAGGGACAATGAAGCTGCCCCTTCTGTCCCCAAAGAGCACCCCTAAACTCGGTGCATGCAGCCTCAGGCCCTTCCTGCCTTTCCAGGCCTCTGGACAGGAGTGGGCCTCCCTTCTCTTCTCAGATGTTGGCTTTCAGGCCCCAGAGGGACAGGCCATCTGCCCAGCGAACAGCAGCCTGGCGCGGGTGTGTGGGGGTAGGGAGTTGGAGACCCTGGGCGCCCATGGGACCTGAGGCAGGTTTGTTTTTGGGTCCACGTTGCCAAGTGGTTGCATTTCCTTCTCTCCTCCCCATGGCAGCTTGGGTCCTGCCAGGTGCAGCATTCAGGATTCTCCTGGAGGGACACCTGCACCGCCCAGTCCAGCTGAAGTCCAGTGTCTGGCATTTTGGCTGCTTAGCCATTGGGCATTGTGTCCAGGGAGGGACCATCCTGTACTTCTCTCCCTACCTCAAAGCTCTCCCTTTTATGGATCATCCAGGATCCCAAAGCAGATTGATCAAAGGGACTAATCCCCAAGCCACTCCTGGTCACTGACCCCAGTGCCCTCCATTGTGTTTATAGCCTGACTCTAGGCCCCCGAAGCGGGGCTATGTGCACACAGCACTCTCCCTTACTCTCCCCCAAGTCTCAGAACTCTATATAGTTAGATTCTGACTGACCCCTCTGTCAGAATCTGAAATGTAAACACTGGGGTCTCAGCCTTCCTAGTTGGTTGGAATCTGCTCAGTACCCCCATGGGCCCTCTAAACAACATGGGCCATTCGATCACGCTTCCTTTTCTTCTGCTCTCCGGCCATCTTTCCTTTATCCCTAATGTCCACCTTTGTTTCCAACTCCTCTATTCCCTTTACTGGGTCTTCCTGCTTCTCTCATACACAGGGTTGCAACCAGCAGTGTTCAGAGTGTTTATTTTTTATAATCCAGCACTTGTGGGTTGGGCCCAGGCATGAGAATTCCAAGCAAAAGTGAACATTTGCATAGTGAATAAAACCACTTATGCCTCCATATTGAAAAACTGATTATAATTTTTTAAAGAAAGTGCTATGTTAAATTATCGCCAACTTAGAGTATAATAACAAAAAGCAGGACAAATCACTAATATTTTGGTAGAAGGGAATTTACTTTGGCTGTAGCTCATCTCCAAAGAATTTTAAGCATTGTGATTATCCTTTTTAGTTTTTTTTTAATTGTACATTAATATATTTGAATGTGTCTAATTTCATTTGTAAGCAGTTTTTCCAGGTAGGAAAGTTATATTCCAGGCATCTGGATACCTTGAGATGTGCTAATGGACTCTGACAGTAAAGCAGTTATCATTGGTGAAATATTAAGCACACACACACTGAAAATTTTGTTGGATAAGAAAATTTACCTCAGAAATTTATGCACACCAAGCCACCTTGTAATAATTTCTTCTAAAAAATAAGCTATCCAAAAGAAAACTGCCTTGGTGGTATGTCACCATAATAGCTGCTATTTTAAAATTCTCTTAAATGCAAGGAAAATGTAATTTATAACGTGTTACATGACTCGTTCAATTATGGATTGAAATACTTCCAGTTCATAGGTGCTAGGGGAAAAACTCAGGTACTATTGATTGTTATTGCTTCTCTTCCCTTTTGCCTTTTAACACCAGGTGCATTGCGGCTGAATTTCCAGCTGTCTGTTTAATTGTTTTCACTTCCCAGAACAGTGGTCTTGTGTTTCACGCATTGTGTTCCTGAGGTAGTTAGACCAGCTTAAAGGGGTGATAGGCCAAGGGACCCCAGTTTTTTTAAAAAAAGTGTTTTTGGTCATGAAGCAATGAAGAATGCTGTTAAAAGTTTGCTTAGGGGAGCAAGCAAATGCAGGTTTACCCTTGTCGGTCTTCTGTTCTGCTATTCTGTACATATTGTAGAGGAAGCTGGTGGCATGCAGAGTCCAACAGCCTATGCTATGCCAAACCAGCCTTGTAAAATCTTACAGAGTGATTGTGTGTTTCAAGGTGCCTTTATTTCTACAGAGGAGACTTTGGTTTATTTTCTTTCCTTTCTTAACTCTACGTCCTCTCTTTTTGCCCCTTCCCAGCAGTGAAACACTGGGAACACTCTGAAACAAAGTACCATTATCATTTTACTGCACACCCAGCTAACTTTTAGTGTATTTTTCTTCTCTTATATTTTCTTATTTGCAGCTTTGGAAGTATCATTAGGGTCAGTCTTGACAGGGGAACTTCTACTTGTGTTTTGGGTATTCAGACTCTGAGGGAAGAGAGTTGATACGGCGTACCCAGTGGGTTTTAGTGGTACATCTTGGACTTTAGCCTTGAAGATCTCGCTGTGACCTCTGTGGTGCTACAAGGCCTGACACCTGGCCTCTCACAACCCAGGTCCAAGCAAAACCTCCAGGCCAGTGGCTGGTCCTTAACAGGACCTGGAATGGACCAATTGGGATTAGGAGTAAGGCTGGGTGTTGGTCTTTGGCAGAATGGGAGAGTGCATCCTGCTTCTGCTCCTAGATTTCTTCTCAAGAGGTCTCTAGAAAGCCACTGTTAACCTTTCCTGTGTTTTGTTGCAGGGGAAAAGCCTTTCAAATGTGAATTTGATGGCTGCGATAGGAAGTTTGCCAACAGCAGTGATCGAAAGAAACATTCCCATGTCCACACCAGTGACAAGCCCTACTACTGCAAGATCAGAGGCTGCGACAAATCTTACACTCACCCGAGCTCTCTGAGGAAGCACATGAAGATTCACTGCAAGTCCCCCCCACCTTCTCCAGGAGCCCTTGGTTACTCAGCAGTGGGGACTCCGGTGGGTGCCCCCTTGTCCCCTGTGCTGGACCCAGCTAGGAGTCGTTCCAGCACTCTGTCCCCTCAGGTGACCAACCTCAATGAGTGGTATGTTTGCCAGGCTGGTGGGGCCCCCAGCCACCTCCACACACCTTCCAGCAACGGAACCACCTCCGAGTCTGAAGATGAGGAGATATATGGGAATCCTGATGTTGTACGGACGATGCATTAGAATTTATTATTATTATTAATAGATGAAATAATATGCGGGAGTCCTTGGATCCTCTCCTAACCTGAGACAATGCCGAGCCTGAGACAAACACATGACTCAGACTTGCCACTGGTCTAATTAGCCCTATTTATTCAGTATGAAACCCTATGGTGTTTGTACATTTAATTAATTTAATTAAGATATTTGGGCTTTTTTTCTTTCTTTTTCTGAAACAAACAAAACACAACCAAGCTGGACTTGTACATTGCAGGGGGACAAGGCTGGGGGCAAATTGTACCAAGGGAAATGAATGGAGAGATTACTTAATCAATATACACACTGCCAATACAATATGTGTGTGTATGTGTGTGTGTGTGTGTGTGTGTATTTATATTTTTAAAGGTGGAGAAGAAGAGCATAAAGTCAAAACTTCATACAGCAACCAGGCCCTCTGCACTTCCCAGAGTGCCTCTCCAATGCCTTTGACACCATACTGTGGGCTGCTTTTGAGCCTCCTTGCTGGGCCCTAATTCTGCAAAGGCTTCTTGATTGTAAACCACATACTTGCTGCATTGTGAACAGATTCCTGGACTCTGCCTGTGTCCAAAAGTATTTGTCAAAACACCTTACGTTCTAATATTTATGGTTTTTAATTTCCATGCTTTTATTATTGATCTCACCTTATCGGTATTTTTATACAGGATTTTTTCTTCAGGACCTTTACTTGTGTGCGTTTTTTTTCCTATGTGCAGCAACCTTAATGTATCTCCATATATTCTACTGTGATTGTTTAAGCAAAAATGGAGAGAAACAAAAGCTGCCACAATAAACAACTGTGAAACTGTGATCTTTTATAAAATAGAAAAAATTCAAGTGCTTTCTTTTTCCTCTCTGGTGTTTTTGTTTTTCTTTCTTTAATCTGAAATCTCAGATGCTGCTTTCTTACTGTGTCCCAACTTCTTGTGTAATAAAGAGATTACGTTTTTGATCATAAGTTCTGTGGGATGCCAACCTTCACAGTCGAGGAGGTGTGATGATGGTATTGTGTCTGTTTTTTAAATTTTTATTTCTTTTGGAAAGCAGTTTTTAAAACAGGCCAACTCTGCTTTTATACTATTGTGTCAACCTTTTTTTAAAAAAAGTCTTTAGTTTTTAATGCCTGAAACTGTGTTTCCGTGCATTTCTTCCAACTGAACACCTAAGCACACCAAACTCTCTTCCATTTGAAAATGACAGTGTGAAGTATATGATTTACATTGAGAGGGGAGAGAGTTGCTATACATATTAAAATTTTTAGAAGGTTTATAGTTACCACCAAACATTGATGAATGTGTGACCTTTGCCAGAACTGTCAAGCTAGGATAAAAAAGGTCAAGGACCGGGGACAATAACTCTTAGTCAGTTTACTTTCAGTTGGTACAACACATCTCCTGTGCAACATGTAGTCCATCAGAAACATCATACAAATCTACTAAAGAGCACTAATTTATCCTCAGAGACCCTGAAGACACCCTCTCCTCATGGTTTGTAGAAACTTGCTTTGTGTGCTGTAAATGGTTGATGTAGTCTTGTCATTGTCAATAACTTATATGTGGACACTTTTATTTGTACAGTTGAATTAATTTATTTTCAGACATCATCCCCCCCCAACCCCACCCTTGGAAGAGTTCGAAGCACACCAAAGAATTATTTTACACATTTTGGTGAAAGATTGTCATTTATGGTCCATGGTTTATTTAAAAAGGGGGGAGAAAATGGAAACATATTTTTAAGCCTACTTGAATGAAAAGTGAAATGTGAAAACCAAGACTCTTCCTGCATGTCTTTTTTGCATTGTGTTGATGAAATTATATACAGTTTATAGATATGTTACTAGTGCAGTGCATGGTGCTGTCATTTGGAAAGCCCTCAATGTTGTTTTCAGATTGTTAAAGTAAATATGAAACCGGCAGACCCTCCTTTATAATGAAAAAGGACCATAAAACTTGAATACAAAATAATCCTACAGTTTTATAGTTTATTTGATTTTCATATTACTCACTTTCAAAGTCCCTTTCAGATACAAAAGATATGGCACGAGTTGGGGGGTGGTAATTTATGTATCGTAAACTTACTAGGACAAAATATTCCTGATATATGATGAGTTGTTTTATTTATACAACTTTTTCAATGGTAGTTTGCACTATTCTTTATTATGCTACAGGTTTATTTATTACAAAACAAAAGAGTATGTATTTTATGTATTTTGCCATGCATAGGTTAATTCTACCACAGATTTATTGGTTTCTGATTCACCTAAAATGAAAGCTGTGTACCTCCAATAGAAAGAAAGCAAAAGTGACCATGAAGTAAAAATGTAATAAAGGTATTCCTCCTATGTATTGCTACATTTTAACCAATGGCATATTGCTGTCATTCTTTTAATACAGAGAGCAGTTGCTAAGATAGTGAACATTAGGTTGGCCTCCCTTGATCTTTTAGCCTCTCTTCAAGCAGTAAAATATTTTTACAGCTTGGTTTAACTAACAGTTTAATTTATATATTTATGAAGTGTAATCCCTGCAGTTTACACTTGTAGTAACACAAGTCTCCGAGTTTACTGCGCTCATTTGTTAAAATTAGGAATATGCTTAGTGATTCTAATCAGTGAAAAGCTGAGGAGTAAATTTTAGCATGTGTTTGGTGCCTGACCTCTAAAGCAAAAGGAGCAAGCTAATAAGAGGGAGAGAGGAGGGTTAAAGTGAAACTGTTGAGCTGGTATGGGTATGGAGTAAACTCTAGTAGTCTTCATTAAATTCTCTCAAAGAACATGGGGAGATCAAATACAATGTACTATGGCTTATTTTGGAATTTAAGTAGATAAATGTAACAAACAGCATTTTGGGGCAAGTATGAAGGAGAAATTAGATTTTTATGGCAACAAAATATTCTGGTGGCTGAAATGAGTATATTTGGCCAACATGCATTAACAAGGCTGGATGTTTGGTTGTTAATATAAAGCTGATAAAAGGCAAATAGTTACAAACAATTGGTAGTAATGTCAATAATCATTTCTCCAAAAGGTTATAATGACTTTTAAAAGTCAGGTTTGTTAAATGTAGTAAAGGTGAAACAGGTTACCAAGAGTTGTTTTAAGCCAGGTGACAATAACCAGCACACGAAGGAGAAAAACACTCATAAATGGGGCTCCAATCAATGGGAAAACTTATAGCTCTCTAATGAAGTTTCTTGTGAAAAGAAGGGTGACACAAAGCCACCAAGACATGAATCATTCATGGGAAATATAAAAGATAAAAGATATCCGACAATGAGCAGAACCTTGTATAGAGTGTATAAAACAAGTTTCCCCTTCTTATTTTCTGCTTTAAAACACACAATCTCCCACTCCCAGCGTTCTCTGTCCAGTCTATAGAGTTAAAATTGACCACTGCTCGTCCTGCGCCACTTCAAAGAAATTTAGTCCAGAACGGAAGGCTTGGCGCTTGGACAATCTTCATGGTGTGTTAAGATTTCTATGGCAATTGGCAAGCAAGACGTTCCTATCTGAATATGTCTCAAAGAAAGCCACTTATTGACACTAAGTTGGCTATCATCAAAGACTTCATCTTCCCTGGGCAAAATGTGGCCCTTGCAAGCACTGCTTAAATCTTTCAACTTTGTTTTCCAGGCTAGGAGAATCTCTAAACACATGATTATTTGTACTTCACATATTTACATTTTCCCCATTTGGATGCTCTTTTGTAAAGCTCGTGCTCCTAAAATCTAATGTACTTAGAAAGAGCTCAATGATGACAATTGTATTCTCTTGAGTTGGAGATGGGCATGCAAGTGCCATTGCATTAGGGACTTGAAGAAAAAAAGGGCCCAAACCAAAGAGCTGGGCCCAGCTGTCTGCAGACATCATGTTTGTATTGCATTCTCATAATTGATGTCTTTCATTTTGTGGAAGCTTTGGGTGGCCATTGTAGTTTTATCTATGCTATGAAATAATTTTTAAATCCCACTTTGGTTAGGAAATACAACATCTGGGGAAGGGGCAGGCAAGACGATCTGTTTTCCCAAGTGATAACCTTAAATCAGAGCAGAGGAAGGCTGATCACAAGGCAAACAAAACAATCCAGATGCTTATTAATTTTCCCATCCTGTCACAAGCCTACCCACTTGCCTGTCCACCCGTAGGGTACCGCAACAGGACACATGACCATGGAAACCTTCCAGGTCTGGAGCGATGGTGGAGACCCACAGTGAAAGTACTCTGTCCCTGAACAGAACCTCCCAGAAACACTGGCCCCACGCCCACTCACAAACACTCCTGAGCACGCATTCACATACAATCCCAGCACCTAATCAGGCGGGCAGAAGTTCAAAGGCATGTTCTTTGAAATTCAAACTACTGCTTTTATGGTACATCCACGCAGAGCATCAGGATTGCTATGGCAATGGGCAGGACCAGGGGAATCTCTGGCAGCCAGTCCACAACCATTGGAGACACTCTATTAAGATACAGTTGCGGTGACCTTTCCCTTCGTGCCTAGTTAGTTTAGTCAATGTTCACATCAGGTGTGTGTGTGTGTGTGTGTGTGTGTGTACACACACACACTTTTTTTTTCTGACTCCCCCTTAGAACCTCCTAGCTTGAGAGAAAGGAGAAAGAATGAAGACAGGAGGAGAGAAAGGCGTGGGGGG